GAGACAGTCCTGCCAGAATCATGATATTTAATGTCCACTGGAGAGAGTCCTGCCTTGATCATGATGCTAGATGTCCACTATGAGGAATTTGCCCTCATTATTTTAATCATATTGGATATCTCAGGATGATGGACATCCTACAATATAATCAGGATGTAGAATACCCGCGGAGGAATCCGGCGGCTGTAACAAGTATATAGGACTCCCACTGAGGCACAACATACTAGAATTATATCAAAGGAAAGCAGATATCCATAGATGCGATGCCTTCTACAATATTCAGAGTGCAGGATATCAACAGCTCTCAGATATGCTTTCATTGTCGTCAGGATCAAGGATATCCAAAAGAATAATTGAGGCTCCCTCTAGTGGATATCTAACATCCTAATTCAGGCAGGACTCTCTCCAGTGGACATCCAACATCCTGTTTCAGGCAGGACTCTCTCCAGTGGACGTCCAACTTCCTGATTCAGGCAGGACTCTCTCCAGTGGATATGGAATATCCTGATTCAACCAGGACTTTCCCCAGTGGATATCCAACAGCCTGATTCTGTCAGGACTTTCTTCAGTGGATATTGAAAATCCTGATTCAGGCAGGACTCTCCAGTGGATATCCAACATCCTGATTCAGGCAGGACTTACTCTAGTGGATATCCAACATCCTGATGACATTGTAGACAGAGAAATTTTCTACACAGTGATTGTAGGCTGTTATAGGCTTGAAGATATGAAAAAAGTGTCTACATAAATGACGAAGAAATAAATTCATAATTTTTTAATATCCATTTATTATTAGGCTGATTATAATTATTAATACTTGCTCATCAACTCATTTTTCTTAATAATATGTTGAGAAAACATGATGATATGTTTGATATTTGAATTGGCTGTATCTCTGTAAATATATGTGTAAAAGGCTTAATTTTGCAAATTAGCAAAGAAAGAGTTAACAGAAATAAACGTCCAGCGATGCGGTAATTCTAATGGTAGCATTTTGAAAACGATTCTATGGCTGGTTTTGATTTTGAGTTTTGCGAAAAATGACGATTTCGCCGAGGTGGCGATTTTTCCATGGCAGCTCTGCTTTGCGCCATCTTTTGACAATTATTTACTGATTTAACTGACCACTGAGCTGTGTGGCCGTCATGTTCCGAGGCATCATGCTTATTTCTATCTTTTGGTCAGTTTTTTATTATTTGATTTAATCATTGACTTACATGCTGATGAATCTGGTACAGGTATGGCAACCATCAACATTGGACGGTTGTCATAGCAACGGTGACAACAATAACATAGCGGGTGGGCGTGTAGTGTGTGCCAAGATCTGTGCATGTATATTGCTATAACGGCGTTATATGAAGAATAATCGCATAAAGGTTGATAGAGTCTAGCTCTAGCATGGTACAGGAGCTGAGAGCCTTGTGCTTGAGAGTGTTAACACTCAACATTGACGGTAAACTTGAGTTAACCAATTATACATGTTGTGTTATATTAATTTGTTTAGTTTAGTTCATTCATCATGCATGCCAGACCCCTTGTGTGAGTAGTAGTGTATAGGGGGACATAATGACTTGGGAACTGAACCTAAATATTCGTTTAGTTAAGCAAATTATAGTATTTGATGAGGTAGAGTTTGTTAACATATCAGCAGCCTATTATGAAGCCTTATAATAGCGCGAGTGAGAGAAAGTAGTTTATTTTGGGCCCCATTCACATGCTATGTGTTATCATCGTGTTATCATCATGTTATCAGGCAGGTATGTGACGTATGTTACATCTCAATCTATTTTAAACTGAGTATTTTACAGTTGTGACGAGCTAGTTTGGGTCTTGGTAGTACAGTTAAGTTCGTTCTCGAATCACAATCGGGAATCCCGGGTTCAAATCCGGGGCAAAAATGAATGGACACGTTTCCTATCACCTAACGTATCTGTTTACATAGCAGTGAATAGGTACCTTGGAGTTAGTCAGCTGTTGTGGGGGTTGTATGGTATAGCTGCATCAAAGTATATGAACTGGTTGACATAGTCTAAATGGAGTCTATAGTACTGTTGCATTTAACGAAGTTCTTTTACACATGGCTAGACGCAGATTAAGTATCTTCGTTTTATCTGCCTGTCACGCGTCTAATATAGAGTTAAGAATGTCTAATATAGACAGACGAGAAGTCACAATATCGTGGCTGAAATATGTTGATCAAACCACACACTAGAAAGTGAAGGGACGACGACGTTTCGGTCCGTCCTGGACCATTCTCAAGTCGATTGTGAGAACGGTCCAGGACGACTTGAGAATGGTTCAGGACGGACCGAAACGTCGTCGTCCCTTCACTTTCTAGTGTGTGATTTGGTCAACAGTCTAATATAGAGTTAAGAATGTCAAATATAGAGTTAAGATTTGAATTATATTTGTGTGATAACGTGGATCATGCACACGCTGATGTAGAGTACCCTGTTGTTCCTGGACCAGAGAGCACTCAGCTAGGGTTGCTGACCCAGCGTGACCTGACGGAGGTGTGCGCGGCTCTCAGCGTCGACCTGCCCCTACAGGTGGCACTGGCCTTGCCTCTAGATGACCTGTACTGGCGGCGCAGGACGCAGGCACACTACCCTCCACCGCACCTCGCTCTTGCAGGTCTGTCAAGCATTCGTTGACCAAACCACACACTGGAAAGTAAAGGGACGACGACGTTTCGGTCCGTCCTGGGCCATTCTCAAGTCGATTGTGACGATCGACTTGAGAATGGTCCAGGACGGAAACGTCGTCGTCTCTTCACCTTCTAGTGTGTGGTCTGGTCAACAAGCGTTAGTTTTCTAAGGTTCTGGACCGTATACTCGCCTCAGGTCGCCAGAAGGGCCTGCGGGGCAGAGTGGTGCGCGAAAGGGCCATCACTCCTCTCACACCCAAAGGCTCTCCAGGAGGTGGAAGTGCCAGCAGTGGAAGGAGGAAACAGCAGAGTGCCTTGGCCACGCCCACCAAGACTGCCCGACACGCCCACTTAGTACCAAGTGTCACCGTAAGTGTCCTTTACGTCCCGTAAGTATATATATATGTCTCAATAGGTTTCTTGATTTAGATTTAGAAAGTACAGCAGGATACAATTTCTTATCATGAATTACAATCTTGGTTTGGGTAGATTTGACTAAGGTTTAATTGATGTCTAAGGTTAAGACCATTTAGTTATGAAGTTGAGGTTCGATGAGTCCCCTCGTGACAGGCAGTGAGGCAGGAGGGCAGCTGGAAGCAGGGGTACCTGGAAAGCCATCTGGCGAAGGCGATAAGCACTACCCAGGATACCAAGAAAGGGTGGCGGGCGCTCTCCCAGCTGCTGCTGGTGTGTGGCAGCCATGTCAACACCCTCGCTCTCTCATCCCTCGCCCCGGCTTCACACAGGTGAGAAAGGAGGGGTGTGGTGAGACACATATATAGTGTGTGTGCACAAAAGAGCTAATGACTCAATATAATATATCCATGTCTTCCTTGCCAAAGCGGTGACGTCAGTGGGATGGACCAAGGCACTTTGGATCATCTTAACCTCTCCGAAGTCATCGCTGCCCTTCCTAACCTCCAGGTGAGCCGTCCCCGACTCCCTCCAGGTAAGCTCTCTCTTTAGTCTCTAAAAGAGCTTCCTTTTCCCTGTCTAGTCTTACCTGTAACCCGTCCTCGACTCAAGTCCATTACATCCAGCGGTCGACCCCACAGACGCATTCATAAATTTTAACATGCTGTTCATTCAAAACGGGAATTTTCTCAAGTATAAATTAATATTATAATATATTAGCATATTGTGCATATATAGGCATAGGTTAGGTTAGGTTAGGTGTTTAGGTTCTGTTGGCGATTATTTGTATTTGTAGTACGTGGGTGAAGCATTTATAGCGTTGTGATTCGAACAAAATTCGTCAGTGAAACACTTATTCCGGATATGTTCGAACGTCAGCAGTTGTGAGTCGTGTGTAAACCGCTTTTCATTCATAAACAGGGGGTTTGGCGGGTGCATGGAATCACTTTTGGATCTTTGTTTGGAGGACGGGCTGGTAGTACGTGGGTGAAGCATTTACAGCGTTGTGGTTCGAACAAAATTCGTCAATGAAGCACTTGTTCCGGAAGTGTTCGAACGAAATCAGTTGAGTCGTGTGTAAACCGTTTTTCATTCATAAACAGGGGGTTTGGCGGGTGCATGGAATCACTTTTGGGTCTTTGTTTGACGGGCTGGATGAATGCGTCTTTGGGGGTCGACCACTGGATGAAATGGACTTGGTGTGAGGACGGGTTATGACAGATGAGGCACAGCAGTGTACGTTGATCCTGTGTTGTTGTAGGTGCTGAGAGTCCGGTACCAGACAGTGGAGGAAGGCGGAGAGCTACGCTGGGCGGACTTGGGCGTGTCCTTGGAGGAGGCCGCCTCCCTGGCCTGCGCCGTCGCTGCCGCCCCAAGGATCACCCATCTCAGGTCAGCTCCTCCTCTAGTAGAGAGGTTTCCGTATCGTCTCCAACACTAAAAATTTACCATAACAGGTGAACAAATCCACAAGGGCCGTTACGAGGATTCGAACCTGCATCCGGGAGCATCCGAGACACTGCCTTAATCGACTGAGCTACGACAGGGTAAAAAAAAAAGAGTTGAAACCGAAGTTCTACTGAACTTACTGGATCCCGTAGCCTCTCCGAGGCACAAATCAGGGTTTTACACAACTCCCCCCTGGTTTGTGCCTCGGAGAGGCTACGGGATCCAGTAAGTTCAGTAGAACTTCGGTTTCAACTCTTTTTACCCTGTCGTAGCTCAGTCGATTAAGGCAGTGTCTGGGATGCTCCCGGACGCAGGTTCGAATCCTCGTAACGGCCCTTGTGGATTTGTTCATTTGATGCATCACGTTAGTGTGATCTCTGTGTGTTACCATAAACAGGCTTTTTAATTCGTCAATCATAATACAACAGCCACGTATCTTTGGGTCATCCAATGAGGTCGCCAGACTTCTCTGGACTTGAAACGCGGGGGACACTAAAAAGCCCAGAAATCATCTCAAGATAACCTCAAGATAGCCTCTGGTGCCCTCTTGTGGTCTAGCCTCTGGTGCCCTCTAGTGGTCTAGCCTCTGGTGCCCTCTAGTGGTGTAGCCTCTGATGCCCTCTAGTGGTCTAGTCTCTGAAAAAGAAAGAAAGAAAGAGTATGTAAGAACATATGCGTGTTGATAAACGTGTTTTTCAGCGTGTACGAGAGCTGTGTGGACGACACACGGGCCGCGGCGCTTCTGGGGGGCCTTCAGGGTCACCCAAGTCTCGTCTACCTCGACCTTCGCCACAATCAGCTCACCTGTGCTGTTGTCCCTCGCCTGGCTGTACTCCTCTCCTCCACACGTCTCGCCACACTGCACCTGCAACACAACAACATAGGCAAGTTGACCAGACCACACACTAGAAGGTGAAGGGACGACGACGTTTCGGTCCGTCCTGGACCATTCTCAAGTCGATGGTCCAGGACGGACCGAAACGTCGTCGTCCCTTCACCTTCTAGTGTGTGGTCTGGTCAACATACTTTAGCCACGTTATTGTGACTCATCGCCTGCAACATAGGCAAGTCCGTGGGATTAGACTGGACCTCGAGGTATTGCTTGTAATTTGTGGTCTAGTCACTGCAATCTAGTTTGTGTTCCTCCATACTCGTCCTGCGAGCTGTAGTTTATGACTCTAATAATCGTGTGAGTATTAGTTTATTGTGCACCCTATATAATCATCCTGTAAGTAGTAACACTGCTTAAGGGCTATTCATGCCCGTGCCACCTCTTGGGTGGCTTAATTACACATCATTAATCAGAAGCACTGTGGGCAGCAAATGGTAGATGGTGTTAATTTTGTTTGTTTTTAATTTTGCTCCAAGGGGTGAGTTTATTGGGGAGCGCCCATTACTCAGTACCTAGCCAGTTAAGTGCAATTTGTATGTATTCCTTCAATAAACAGTTTAGTTTAGTTCATTTATTATGCACCCCATGCCGATCTTGTGGGCGGTAGTGGAAAGGGTTACAGAGGCACATAATGGGCTCAGGGACTGAACCCCACAATTCATTTAGCTAAGCTAGTTACAACATTCAGTATAAGTCGTCACATCAACAATGGGTTCGAGATCGACCTCAAGTACAGGCAACTGACATATGTGGAGAGCAAGTGTCACAATTTATTAGGTATTGACCAATGGGTTTAGTTTAATATTTTCAAATTTGGCACAGTTGTATTGTCCCCTGTTACGAGTCTGTCGAGAGCAGCAGCAACTACATAGTCATGCGTGATGGCAGGATTAGTAGTAAAGCAAGTTATTTGTCAAATGTTCACCACAGTATGGTGCTAATTCCAATTATTGTCCGGCCTGCAGTATAACCAGGAGGAAATGGAGGATGGGGTAAAGTCTTCTGCTTTGCTTCCCTGTTTTCCATCCAGAGACCTTAGTGTAGACACCCTAATTTCCTAGCAATTATTTAGTCATGTCTGACTTTTGTTATATTCCTTATATACTCATCACTGCTTTGGCCAGAAGCCAAGTTTCAAAGAACACTGATGAAACATTCCACACCATCTGAAATTCAATCTAACTGAAGACCCCACTTGTAAGGAGGTGGTGTACAGGACACTTTTAAGTTATGATTTTGCTACAGGTGAGGCAGGTGGGAAACAGCTTGGGGCAGTGCTGGCCCAAGCACCTACCCTAGAGGCATTGCTTCTCGATCTCAACCCCTTGGGAGGAGATGGAGGAGCAGCGGTGCTGGAAGGTGCTGCTCGAGGAGGGAGGCTGAAGGTGCTGTCTCTAGCAGGGTGTCGCCTCACTGACTCTTGCTGGCCACACGTGGCTCGTGCCATTTCCCTCCCTCGCCTCCGGTACGTCTCGTTGGCTGCCAACCCTTTCACCCAGGTTAGTGTCAACAGTGCTTCAGGCAGATCAATGTTGTTTTGTAGAGTTGGTGTCCCATCTAGTTAGTCTATCCACTTCCACTAGCTAAATTTCAGGCATTAACTGGCTTTCTTCCAGCTTAATTCATGTTCCATCAGATACCCTCTTCAAACTGAGCTCCAAATCAATCAATTCCTCTTCTAATCCTCGAGTCAATTGACGCTATTCTCAAATTTACATTTCAGGTGAGTCAGGCCTCTCCCTTTTCCCCCCAAGATGAGCTTTCAAACCAGTCCAAAGTTTGCAAATAATCTGTATTGCCTACAGGCACCACCGGTGGAGGTGGTGAAAGCAGCAGGTGGGAGGAGCGGGGCTCGTGTCCTCCTAACTAACCTGGACGGGACCACGTACCTGCTGGGAAGGGTCTTGGGAGGTCGCCGTCTTCCACCTCCTCTTCAGACGCTTCATGACCAGTTGGCAGCGCCTCTCACTCCGTTGGCAGCACAAGAGGATCTGGCCCACTACCTGCCCATCCATGGTCTGCTATTGCATGCTCAAGACTTTAAGATAGAAGAAGAGCTGAGGGGAATGTGCCTCTTCACCAAAGACCCTAAGAATATTATTTGATATTGGCAACTTCTGGTGTCATATCATTAAATGTTCTTTGAAAACTACAAAGATGTTAATATGAATTTTACATGATCACTATGAAATTGAACTTAATATACTTAAATTAAGTATAAGACCCTAAGAATATTATTTTATATTGGCAACTTCTGGTGTCATATCATTAAATGTTCTTTGAAAACTACAAAGATGTTAAAATGAATTTTACATGATCACTAAGAAATATACTTAAATTATGAAAAAATGTGGCAAAGTAAGATTAAAGGCTAAAGCATATATAATGCAAATTACCAAAGAATGCAGTTTATGTATCCCCACATAGGTGATGGGCAAATGTATTTAGAAATGGATTGAGATGAGAGACTACAGCATTTTCATTGCAAGGTACACACAAATAAATATTTTATCAGTTTAGGGCTCGGCTAGTAAACTGAAAATTCCAGTAAGAGACCATGAAAAGTATAGTTCATATCGACTTTCGTTTTACTTGGGGTATACAGTTTAAGTAGTTTTAAAAGGTACCGAGCCAAGAAAACCAAATTCAGCATTGTTGTAGGATTTGCAAAATGGTCATAAATTTCACTAGAGATGCCATTACAGGAGCTAAAGACACAGGAAGATTGATGTTAAAGGCATTGAGTATGAGGTTCAGGCATAATAATTTTTTTGTTATTCTATCCAATAGTGGAGCAAATGACATTTGTGACTGTTGCTATCGAGTGGTGGCAGGAGAATTGCTGAACTTGTTATTGCTGTATTTGGGGTATCTTGAATGTATCTTGAATGTCTTTGTTCTTGACTTGCAATCAGGAATCATAGGGGTTGATTCTTGGGTTTGGCAGTATGTAGGTATCTGAGAGTTAACCAGACCACACACTAGAAGGTGAAGGGACGACGACGTTTTGGTCCGTCCTGGACCATTCTCAAGTCGATCGATACTTTAGCCACGTTATTGTGACTCTTCGCCTGCATCTGTGAGTTAGATATCTTTTGTGGGGGATGCATCCTGAGGAGGGCGAGTTGTTTGATTTGTTGGGGGGGGATGGGGTGAAAGGGTGAACTTCGATACCAGTTAAAAGTATATACTGTTTATGCTTGATAATCTGAATCATATGGGGGCCCACCCACATTAGAGTTGGTCAGAATTTGATCTGGAAAGTTAAAAAAAAAAAAAATGAAATTGAATTCGGAGTTTTGTCTACCATTAATGTTGGTGACCAATTTTAGTAAACTAGTAAAAAATTATACTAGATTACTACCAAATGAAAATTAAAGTTTTATTTTAGTGCTCAACTTGAGTAAAAGTTATTACCAAGAACTCAGTTATATTCAGATTGCCCAAAGATTAAAGTTACTGGAATTCAGATTATCACGCTCTTACTGTATTAATACATACATGCACAGGCTTCCTGCCCCTTGCAATTGGGTACTAAAATGAAGAAAAAATATATATTTAATGTTACAAATTTTTATTAAACACTGTAGAAAGCCATGTGCGATTATCACTACTCACAAGTTCCAAGTAATCACAACATACTTAAATGTAAGTACAGTACTGTAGTTCTCCCTTCTATCCACAGTTTCTTTCATAGCTCTCGTGCATTCCCAGGGTACACGTTTTTTTTTATTTTGTAATCTGAAATAGTGTATTTCAGTACAGTAGACCCAAATCAAATATGAATATCAAATGCAGTAATCAGATTTCTATGAAATATTGAACTTTTCAATACCTAGTACCATACCTGAATAAACAACTGGAAGGGCACGAGATTGCCATACGCAAGATCTGTGAAAACTGAGAACTTTAACAAATTTCACAATCAACACTATCAGCCATGCTGGGACACTTGACTTATAAAAATAAAATCTTGAGCAACAACATACACGCCTGAGTGCACATAAAAAATATACATTTCACTTGCATTCTGGAAGTGCAGTCACTCCTCTACATCTCCTTCACCTGAAATAAAGCAGAAATACATTCACAAACTCGGGCAAACACGCATGATGGAAGGAATGTGCATAGCAGATAAAAAAACATCTTGGATTTTATAAAAATATTAAATCATAAATTTTTATAATACCATCTGCATCAGTTGTTAAATCATTAAATAAAATAAATACCACATTTCAACCTAATGCAAACATGTTCCCAGGAGTGATACCTGCATAGTAACATGTTTGGCAGAAAAGTACAGAAATAATTTTTCTTACTGTCCATTTAAAACCAGTTATTGCTATACAATAAATATAAATTGTATATTGTCAACATTACACAATCATTGACTCATGCCTCAGAAGCCAAGCAGAGCATACTACCATACAAATGTTTACATCCATCCACTGGTCAATTCCAGCATTAAGTACATGATCTATAGGACGGATAATCACCAAACATACGTAGGAAAAAAGTTATCTTAGAGATCATCAATAAGATTCGGTAAAACATTTTAGTACCAAGTCGGGGAAATGGATACGGACTAAACTTGTGCAACATGTACATGTATTATAGTAATATAGACCTGGGGCCAGATTCACAAAGCAGTTACACAAGCACTTACGAACCTGTCCACCTTTTCTCAATGTTTGCCGGTTTAGTTTACAATTATTAAACAGTTAATGAGCTGCAAAGCACCAGGAGGCTGTTTATAACAATAACAACAGTTGATTGGGAAGTTTTCATGCTTGTAAACGGTTTAATAAATGTAACCAAAGCAGTCAAAAATTGAGGAAAGATGTACACGTTCGTAAGTACTTGCGTAACTGCTTCGTGAATCTGGCCCCTGGATAGTTTTGGTCACAGGCAAGTCAGACTGTGGGGGAAAGGTATTGCTAAGCTTTTCTTATTCTACACCTGTGCTATGTAAAAAGTGTTGTACATCGTTTATATTGCATCCCTAAATGTGACGTTCATATGTACCGTCACATAGATAACAATTTTTACGAAGCCTACATTTTCTTAGTTAAATGCAATTTAGTAAAAATCGTCTATCCATTATTTTAGTTTATACCTGCATACTTAGTGAATTTTGACTTCACATTGGCCAGTTTTAATGTTGTATGATCAGAATTTTCAAAAGACAGCACCAAGCCTAGATGCATCATTTGAAATAATGAAAGGAACAATAATCCTGTTGAATAAGTCATTTTCTAATACTGTACTGTGTATGCATTACTTAAATCTTTACTATTAAGTTCAGTAGCAAGTGAAAGAATTACTTCACAAAACATTATTTAAAATAAACACTGATACCAAGTAAATTGAAAGTTATATCTTAATATACTGAACAGTATAGTATAACCTTACAGCATTTTTTATTGTACATACAAGGAACCGTGTGCATGTTCAGCAAGTGCATTTGGCAACTGTGCAGAATCTTCTAATGGCCACAAACGCTTGGTATTAATATTACAGCACCCGCTTCTTGGATTGGCTAGAGCCAATAGTTACCTACTTTGTTCACTATATATAGAGATAAGTGCTGATACCCAAACACCAAAATGTTAAAAGCATCCTCCAGTACTTCATCCACTGATTCACCTGCCATGCAAGTACAGTACAGGTAATTAGATTTAAATAGATCTCGACCCATCCTCATCAACAATGACCAAATGCTCGTTAATCCAACTGTCAAACCCCCTGGTTTAAGAGGCAATACGGTAGCTATGTACAAAATGGTAATGGGCATCGACAAAATTGATAAAGAAGAATTCTTAAGACCTGGAACTTCAATAACAAGAAGTCAAATTTATACCAGCTAGATAAACCTACCAAAAAAAATAGAAAATTAACTTTTGCAGAGTGGTAGACGGTTGGAACAAATTAAGGGAGGTGTTGGTGGAGGCCAAACCGTCAATCCAGTAGTTTCAAAGCGTTATATGACAGTGGTGGGAAGATATGACACCACGAGTATAGCTCTCATCCCATACTAAAGTTAGGTAACTACCCTCTATTCAAATTGCAACTCGGTGATTGCTTCACCCATATACTTCAGATACAAATACCTACCAACAGAATCTAAATACCTAACCTATGCCTAACTATGCATAGAACTTTAATATACTGTATAATAATAATATACAAGCCAAAATGATTTAATACATAATACATTAAAATTGATGAATGTGTCTTAGGGAAACGGCTGCCGCTTTAACGAGCCTAGCCTGAGAACAGGTTGATCATCCTATAACAAAGTGAATATAATTTATGGAGGTTTAAACTGAGGGCTCATGAATACTAAATATACCTAAGATAAAGATAGCTCGTAAGATGTAATAAGATCAATAAATTGAGGAAAGCTTTGCTAGTTCATCATGTTGAACAGAAACATGTACTAATAGACAAGGAAGAGAAAGTTAATAAAGTCAAACATCTCAGACCAGATATTTTAAGACAAAATTTAGGAGCAATGATTTTCCAGACAAGCCAGTAATAGATCAAAGACAAAATTAAATGCTTCAGCCACTTTCCACTCAAAATCCCTAAATTCCCTTAACTTGATCACACTAAAGTACCAGTTACTTTTAAAATCAGTAGTGCAGACAATGAGTCACAATAACATGGCTGAAGAAATGATGACCGAACCACAACTCAAAAGATGGAGAAGCGACGATGTTTTGGTCCATTGTGGATCGAAACATCTCCTTTTCGGTCTGTCCAGATCACTTGATGGTCCAGGACAGACCAAAACATTGTCACTTCTCCATCTTCTGAGTTGTGGCTTGGTCATGAAAATCACTAGTGCTTTATTAGAACTAACTATTGCAATTCTTGAGAAAGCATCTTACATGTATAACACACTTATGGGAAAGATCATAAATGTGCTGTATACATTTTCCAACACTTCACAAGAGCCGAGTGCTACTGGTGGATGTGGTGTATCTCACAATATCAGCGACTGTCTCAACAGAGGATGTCTTGCTTGGACACAAGTGAATATCAGCAGCGAGAGCGAAGGGTGAAAAGAGGAGCAACGGTCAGAGGGAAGGATAAGTGTGGAGATTGGCAATGAAGACTGGAGGGCTTTGCATAGGCATTTTAAGTGATGATAGGGAAGCAGGGGATGGAACCAAGCATGGAGAATGGACAGGGAAAGGCTGGAAGCAGAGAGATAGAGAGAGAGAGAGAGAAAAAAAGACTGAACTTCCCTGCTCCTCCACCTATCATGGGGTCCAACAAAGTAGGTATAAGCATGCAGGCAACCCTGGGGGGTAACAAGGAGAGTATATGCGCAGGTAACAAACTGAGGGTCTGAACGGCAGCCCAGGGACTGATAGGGATACCAACCCTTCAATGCCCACTTGACCCACGTCTGACTAGGCCCACCAGAAGACTAGCTTACTGATCCATTTGAGCCTCACTGAATGTTCTGTTTTACTCATATCCCTTCACCAACGAAGTGTGTTGACCACTTCTCACTACATATCACACTTAAAATACCTTGTCATAATACAGAAATAATAACATTTTTCTCTCTCGGGAGTACATTTTAAAATACAAAATGCCACAGCATGTTATTTTAGGCCAAAACAAATGAAAACTCTATCGTGCAACATCATAGGGATCAAGTACATTAACTACTACAAATAGCTTAAGTAAAAATGTATCGGCATTTGTAATTTCCCTATAAAAAATTCTGCAATAACTAAAATCATTGCAATATTGCTTAATGTACTTATAAACACCTAAGTTACTCAGTGTACAATACCTTAATAACAAACACAAGATGCTGCACTCAAGTGTATTAATTTGACTTGTAACCCAAAATACAATATGCTTGCGGAAAGGATTTTCATGCAATGCCAGCACACACATTACAGTTTTATCAAAATTCCCAGCAAATCCTGTTTTTCATGCTGGGTTGCCACAATGGTTAAAGTTAAACAAAAAGTTAACAGTTAAACAAAAAGCAACAAGCAAGTTGTGGATATGAAAAATACACTCTGGCAAAAAAAAAAAAAATTGCATTCACTACCGCTGCACTAAGAAAATGCAAGCTCTGGAAAATCATAGCCATTTGTGCAGTTATTTAAATCTAAGGACAGACTTACACACTTCAGAATTACCTACTTAACATGGGTATATACTACATGGTAAATGTAAGGTAATAAATGCCTCATCTGATTAACAAAAGCAAACATGCAAATGTCTCTAGCAAATGTTTCACACTGTATTGTTGGATATCCTACTTATGCTTCACATGTGTGTGTGTGTGTGTGTGTGTGGTGTATAGGCATGCAGGTATATGCATGTACGTGCATATGATGCCATACATTATATGGAATGTTTTCCTCCGATAACTCTACTTTGGGGGGGAAAAAATAGAGTACATCTATAAAAATAATTAAAAAATGGTAAAGAGTAATGCTTTCAAGAATGAATCTTTACAATGCCCAAAGTGCAGTACTGTATTTAGAAATGAGACAATACTGAACACCCGCTAGTACAAAACAAAAACAATAAGGACAAGCATATTAAATAAAATCAGAAAATGGGTCTATGTGGCGTCCACTGATGAAATCGTAATAAAATATGGACATTGTAAAGTTTTATTTTAAACACGAAAATTAAATGCCCAAAACTTTATACAAATATATATCATCAGATTCATCAGATGCATTCAGTGCATATAAAAGAATTCTTCAATACCTTAATTAAACAACAAATTTCACATTTGAAGGCTATTAAGAACTCTTGAAAATCAATACAGATGCAGCAAGAATATGACATGTTACATTATACAACATTTTGGTTCAATTTTATGCATTAATCATTAGGAAAGATTAAAAATAGTCATTTACATAAAGGTTTCATAAAAACTAAAAAAAAAATAATTTCTTTTCTAAATGAACGTCGTGAGAATCTCGGACAAACTACCAATCACCAAAAGAACAAAAAGGTACAGCTACATTCGGAAGAGATTTAAGGAACTACAGTACTTAGAACGCAGCCTCGTACAAGAGATCAACTGAAGAGTGTGGTCCTTTAATACTACGTGAGTGGAAGGGTGGTCATCAATTACAATGTATTGTATGGCACAGAAAGTACGAAAGCTATTCTATACTGATTTCCATTATAGATTTGCTTGACGACCACAGTAACAAAATACTACAATCAGAAAAGCATGCACCGATACATCAGTCACGTCATTTTGAGCTCTGCAAGTGCGGATCATGGATAAGCTTGCTTCTTTCTGGGGTATCGTTGCTATCCTGTTAAGGAATATGAGGAGGCATCAGCTACAGAAAACACATGCTCACCACTTACCATCTTAGTTATTAATTATTTGAAACAGGCAATATAAAACATTGATGACCAGACCACACACTAGAAGGTGAAGGGACGACGACGTTTCTGTCCGTCCTGGACCATTTTCAAGTCGATTGAGAATGGTCCAGGACGGACCGAAACGTCGTCGTCCCTTCACCTTCTAGTGTGTTGTCTGGTCAACATACTTTAGCCACGTTACTGTGATTCATCGCTTGAATATAAAACATTTCTTTTGAGGGTAGGGACAAATTAAATTTTCAAAATAATGTAACCTTTCAATTTTGTTGAGGATTAATATTTATGGAAAATATAGCCTGCCTTTTTTTAGGAAACTTATTAAAGCGTAAGAAAAGAATAATTGCAAAACAGTATAATTGTCTGTTGGCACTAAAATGGTACGATAACATTAAGCCGGCACTGTGGCACTAACCTGACATTCAACTGTCAGTTATATGGGATGGCTCATCATTTTTTAACCAAGTTCGAAAGACTCACAGTATGCCCAATATCTTGACCAGGCTTCAAAAGAGCTTTGCACTAGGTGATCAATATCAATCTCTTTAAGATTCAGATTTACAGTTTGTTCCTCCAAGTCACATAACAGTATGCACTGGAACAATATTAATTAACCATGAAAGAACTAGCTAATAGGTCTGCAATTTCTATAAAAGATAATGCATATAAATCTATAGTTATGAAGAGCAAGGGCACTTATGGTATATTAAGGTTATCTTTCAGAAAAAATACATTTTATTAATAAAAATACAACAAGTATAGGGAGGTGGCAACTTTAACACGTGAGTGGTGCAAACAAGATTGTATCTTTTGTAATGCAGTGTATGGCGATTGGGTTTGGGACCTGTCTTTACTAGCTTCCACCCTAATAAAAGCCAAGAGCCTTCCCCCACTCACTAAAACTGGGAAATTGGGTTCGGGACCTGTCTTTTCTAGCTTCAGCCCAAATAAAAGCCGAAAGCCTTCCCCACCCAATAAAACTGGGAAATGTGGAGAGTAATAATAATAATACTGTAATAAGTGTGGGGATTAGAGTCATTGTATGCACATATACCACACCATAAATGAGGAAATCTTTGGAGCAGGATGGCAGAATTGGACCATCCTGAGTCAAAAGATATCCTCATAGATATATTATGGTACTGTGTAAAGTGTCAATGTTTGAATGACATTTCCGTCCGTGGTAGTCTAGTACTTTTTGTTAATCCTAGCTTTGATTCTGACTGTACTGAGGATTCTCAGGGATTGTGTTTGTACATCACGTATTTAAATTGCATGAAAAATAGATCAAACCCTTGTTTATGGAATTTTGTTTTACAATGTTATTGTTTATTAATTGTAGCCACATTGGCCTTTCACATGTTACTTTAGTAGGAACTTGATAACTTAATAATAATGCGCCCGAAACGCATTGCGTAATAGTGGCTTTAGGCATTGTATGTACTAGCTCTATCTATATATCAATCCATTAATGTAACATCACTTGTATGTATATACCTTACCTGAATAAACATCTGAATCTGAATCTGAATCTAATAAATCTGGATTTATTATGAACTCTGAGGTGCACATTGCAGTACATTTCACCCAAGACCAATAAAGACTTGGAACCTAAAAGTAACCATATTAAAATAAATCTCAAAATACAACAAAAAGTATAGTTTTGATGCCTCTGCTCATCTAGCAGTGAATAATTATTGCCAAGATGCATTTTGGAGTAGATCAGTAGTTGGTGGGGGGTGGACGGGGGGATGGGGGGATGGGCGAGGACCTCGCTAAGACTAAGTGCTGGCTTCTTGTTCCCGACAACGGGAATTAGCGGTGAAAAAACTTTTTGAATACTTACTGCTCACAAACACACACTGTTATCTCGATTTCCCACTTTCATTGGGTTTGGAGGTATCAGTCCATAGAAAACAAGTTGAGAAATAGTGAAAGGTTAAATATATTTAAAAAATATAACACTTGACCATACGTTAATCATCCACTCAATGCGACATCACAGATAAAACAAGTATCACCATGCTTGAAAACCCTGCCACTTAGTAAGGCAAACTTTCAAGTACAGTAGACTCCAGATTCAACACACATGAGATTTTGTGCCGTAATCTTCATTGAGAATTGGGACTCGCGTTCGGTTTAACTTCGGTTTACACGGCATCATAAAGCACTGGCGCTGCTTTATTTTAAATACATAAATACAGAATTGAATTTGTTTTGCTCTGTACTGTAATTAGATAAATAGTTTTCTGCAAAAACTAAACTTTGTTCATAACAGAAACAATGAGAAATTAGACTTATTATTTACATCACAATAAATTATGTTTACCATACACTACATTGTTAATCATTTTAATAACAACAATAATACAGAAAAAACATTGCATTCATTGTGTATTGTTAATAAACTTTAAAATTTGACTAAGCACAACATTTTTTAAATTATTAATTGAATAAAATCTTGGTTCTAGGATGCATCCTAATTTTTCCCACGGGATCCTTAAATAAATACTACACAGTTTGGTTCTTTTCTGGTCTTAAGGAACACATCTGCTTGCAAAACCGGGAGTCTGCTTTACTTTCAAATACCATTTGCAGTCCACTCAAATTAAAAGAAATTCCCAATAGCATGGTTAGATTTTGCATGCCCTGAAGCAATGTAAGACTGTGCAACCGTCACCAGCGATAAATATTCAGAAATTTAGCAGATGTATTAATAAAGCTACACGCAAAATGCAACCATTTAAAATCTCACACCCTCCCTACCATAGGGTTGCTTGGAGGTTTCTTGGGCTCATAGCTGTACAGGAAGATTGAGCCTATCACCAAGGCTGTGCCAACTGCAAACTGGAATGTTATCACAAAATCAAAAAGAAATACCGATGCGACAGTGGATATCACAATAGCTAATGATGTCGCAAATCCTTTGAGGATATTGTCAGCATATTTAACTACCATCGCTACCAGCAGTCCGCCTACTGCATTCAGAACCACAAGATACCATACGTAGGCGTCATAACCATAAAAGAAGCCTTTATCTACGATGGAGGAGTAGTCATTTGCATATGATGTTAATATTCCTAAAGGTACAGATAGGAATGACAACTGAACATTTCTGACCCACAAAGAAACCTCTGAGCCTTTTAGAATTTTTTCAAAATAGATGCCTGCAAAACCAGAGCAGCAGCAGGCAGCAATGGCAGCAATGCAGCCCAATACACGATTCTGTCCAGCCGTAGCTGCCGAGACTGCTTTGCTGGAGGCAGAGAGTTGGACTAGGGCAACACCCGCTGTGAGAAGTAACAGTGACGTCCACTGTGTTCCTCGAAGCTGTTTATGAAGGATCAACACCGCAAACATTGCAGTGGTCAGAATCTTCATTTGATAAGTAACCTGAAAAAAATAAATAGATGAAAGTGTAATGAAATGCCTCTTTCTGGGCAGCACCCCAGTAGTATTCCTAAGCATATGGTACTGGGTCACTTGGAACATCCTTCTTTGGGTGTTCTGAGTGAACCAGTGCCATTAGTTTAGGGACTTTCAATAACTTCTCTCTACCCATTAAGGACAAAGACCTTTCTTAATGATCTTGCTTCCGCCACAGGATGGGAAGATTCCATGGGAATTATAGATCAACACACTATTGAGGTGAGCAACGTGCTACAAGCTGCACAGAAGTCACAAAACACTTAATCACCTCTTAGATAAATGTTTTACAACACTAAGGAAACTCTTATGATATGACTAGATACTTATCTAGTCAAGTTGATTAGGCCACCACCTAATCACCTCAAGGCCCCAGTGAGGCTTTGAGGCTTTACTCTTAGCCCAAGTAAATAAACTCCACTCAGCTTATTCACCATGACACCTCAAAGACAAAAAAAATAGCAAAACATTACAAAATAATGACAAAAAATGACTCGTGTGTTATTTTCTTGTGACAAACTGATTTACAATGAAAGGACGGGTAAAGAGGGGGTGTCGAACTGCAGGTGCAGGTTACGCAACTGCAATCTGCAATTTCTTGAACATCCACAATGGAATGTTAAAATTTTATTCTTAAACAAAACCAATGGCAGCATCTGAAGCTTAATAAAGTGAGCCCCCATAACTTGCTGTAGGTCTGCTTCCTGGGGTGTGTGTAACAAAAAGGAGGCCTGGTTGAGGACCGGCCGCGGGGACGCCAAGACCCGAAATCATCTCACGATAACCTCAAAGTCACGAGCAACCATCAGGTAGGTCACAAGTAAATGTCATAGTATTTTACAAAAGGCAGATAAGCACCTCATTAAAATTGTTTCAGGTTTGTTTGGTGTTACGGGTGTTGCCAAACATTGCTTGGAGGGGGGTTAATTATCTAGCGACTTTTAATAGAATTTTAGTGGGCAGTTCACAAAGTGAATTGATCTATAATCCCTATGTACCTAATTTGACCTGCAGAGCGGGCAAAATGGTTTGAAAATGTACTTATCCCTGGTAGATAGAGCGAGAAGTCACGTGAGCTCGGCATACTTAGAGTGTCTCTTGAAAGCCTAGTGACAATCTCTAGGAAGCTACTGAGAGGGGCCAGATCATAAAACAAAAATATAAAAACATACAAAATGTTTTTATATTTTGTTTTTATACAAAAATGTATAAAAACACAACATTTATAAAGAAATTGTGAGTAGTGGATGAGGTTATGGATGGCAGTGAAGGAACGGGAGAAGAACACCATGTCAATAAATCTGGAAAGTATGTACAGGTATGTATGTACCTGGGTAAGGGAGCTGGTCGACCGAGCGGACAGCACGCTGGACTTCTGATCCTGTGGTCCTGGGTTTGATCCCAGGCGCTGGCGAGAAATAATGGGCAGAGTTTCTTTCACCCTATGCCCCTGTTACCTAGCAGTAAAATAGGTACCTGGGTGTTAGTCAGCTGTCACAGGCTGCTTCCTAGGGGTGGAGGCCTGGTCGAGGACTGGGCCGCGGGGACACTAAAAAAAAAAAAGCCCCGAAATCATCTCAAGATAACCTCAAGATATGTAATGCATGACTAGAGAAACGGCAGAGTATTGCACAACTATTGACCCTCAGACAGCATCTATGGACAAATGGTCATGCCTACATATACTCCTATCCCCCAAACTGCAAGACGAAGTCCATACATATGGTTATCATGAACTACAATACAACTGTACCATACACCAGGGAGGGAGGTTGGCTGAGCGGACAGCACGCTGGACTTGTGATCCTGTGGTCCTGGGTTCGATCCCAGGTGCCGGCGAGAAACAATGGGCGGAGTTTCTTTCCCCCTATGCCCCTGTTACCTAGCAGTAAAATAGGTACCTGGGTGTTAGTCAGCTGTCACGGGCTGCTTCCTGGGGGTGGAGGCCTGGTCGAGGACCGGGCCGAGGGGACACTAAAAAGCCCCGAAATCATCTAAGATACACAGCATTATGTAATAGTACCATGCACTACAACCCACAAGAGTACCATTCACTACGATACATACCAGTACGTGATAAAAAGTAACTATCTCGGATAATAAAAAAATTCTGGGATGATTGTATGCTTCAATTGCCCAGAGGTGATTCATGATGTTCTGTAAGATTTAATCCTCAAACTGCATATGTTTGTTTTTTTATCAATTTCCTGTTGCGTATATATATATATATATATATATATATATATATATATATATATATATATATATATATATATATATATATATATATATATATATATATATATATATATATATATATATATATATATATAAATATTTTCCACTATCATAAAACATTGCTTTCTGATGTCGAGGGAAAAAATTATAATAATTTTAGTTTGGCTGAAGTGAAGAAATGATGAATAAATCATATTGTGAGAATTAATTTTAAAGTTAACTATTTGTAATACTGTACTTCATCACTTAAATATTTCCAGGTCCATAAAAGGCTTTTTAACTTATGCATGACATCGTGGTTGTTAGCATAGGTGTCAATAAATGAATAGTGATGCACTTGACATGGTGCGAATTATTTAATGATGCCCAAGAAGGTAATTAAAGCTTTCCGGATTTTTCCCAATATGACAAACGATTGGCAGAGGTCTCTAGTGTCAAATGATGCTCATATAGGGTTAAAAGTTCTGCCAATTCTACGGGAATGTCATTTATCAGGGTCCTGGTAGTACAGTCGGGTTCGTTCTTGACGCACAATCGAGAATTCCGAGTTCGAATCCCGGGCGGGACAGAAATATTGACCAAGTGATGATCAAACCAAATACCAGAGGATGAAGAGACCACAACATTTCGGTCCATCCTGGACCGAAACTGGACCTGGACCGTCTTGGACCATACGTGCCAGATATATACATCATGTCTGGCACATTACCATCCATTCACTGGACATTTAGTCTGACCATGTTATGGATCACTGGCACCATGCATAATTGCAAGGACTTAGATAGACCTGGAAGATCTTAGTGATGAAGAGGAATATATTACAGTGGAACCTCGAGTGATGAGCGGCTCCAGTTACGAGCATTTCAAGTAATGGGCAAGGCACTCGCAGAAAATATGTCACGCCTGACGAGCTTTTGCTCGATTAACGAGCGTTCCCGCTGGTTCTCGGACACCTCCGACGACAGTTTTGTTGTTATTTCGCAAGACAAGTTTTCCACACGACGAGCTCTTTGCCAAAACGAATTAAACTCGTTAATCGAGGCGCCACTGTACAAGTACAGTAATTAACTTGAATATTATCCCTTAGTATAAGAAATAAGATGCTCTAAAAGCAAGGGAAATGAGACTGAGGAGGGAAAGTGTGGGTGGTGTGCGACAAGATGCATCCATGATGACACTTACGCCTCGAGTTGCCAACTGGAGCAAAATGTGGTGATGGGGATCTTGTTGCTAGTCATGGGGAAGGGTGATTATGCTTGTGGTGGGTGAGCATATGCTGGTATTCACTATGCAAGGTTTGTCAAGGGTCAAGGTGAATTTTTGTTTCTTAATTTAACAAAAATTTGCTTCCATAAGCTATTAAATGTGATATTGTGGTCTGTGCTCATTGTAGTGTTAGCGATAATCATTGAAAGCATTGGTCTTTGTGCTGGTGATCACTGTGCAAGCTACATTTCGTGATCGTAGTTGTAAGAAATTGTCAAGTGGAAATTTTTTATGCCACAAGATACTAAATCTGCTGAAAATACAGTTAGTATAGGTTTTATAAATCATGGAATCAAGAACAATATTCCTCAGAAGATGAAACCATCATCTATCCCAGAAAGGTAAGTCAGACTTAGGAAGTGAGGCTGTGTGGTGACCAGAGTTGATAAAAACCTGGGTTTTATCTATTTAATCAATAGATAATAAAACACTTGTCCAGAATATGAGAGAACTATGAAAGACCTATCAACAAATCACATTAACCTTACTTGGTATGTGGCAGCGTCCAGGTTCGAAGCAGACACGTAAAGCAAGTTGTTCTGAATAAGGTAGATGAACGAGGGTACACACACTTTCAATGTATCCAACTTCTGCTGCCAAATTTGGGTGTGTAGTGCCACGACTAAGTGCTGCAACAACAGCACACAAAATGTATGTTAAAACCTGTCGAGTTAAAAATAAAAGGTACAATAATGTACTTAAAATAATGGCCGCCAGTGAATAAATAAGTATACTGTAGTTACTCCCAAGCATAGTTGCAGAATAAGAGTTAGGATCATGGGGTCCCCAGCTTCCTTATAATCTTTGGCAAACATTACCCTTCATGAGAAACTATTGAAGCTGTACAGTGAGATGGAACCAGCATCCTGGACTTCTCAGCGAGATGAAACCAGCATCCTGGACTTCTCAGCGAGATGAAACCAGCATCCTGGACTTCTCAGCGAGATGAAACCAGCATCCTGGACTTCTCAGCGAGATGGAACCAACATCCTGAACTTCTCAAGTATATGCACTGAAGAGTCAAAGGATGTGGATTTTATTCCATCATACAACTTCAATATTTTCTCAAATACATCATGTACTTATGATTACAGTGTGCACTACGTTTGATATAATTTATTACGGTGAATGTGGCTTGGTTTTGCTAATTCTGCACTCCAATACATGACATTTATCCACAGTCAATGTTATTTGCCGTAAACCGTATTGCTTTATGTGTTCATTTTATTATCATCATTCTGAAGGTCATGACAGGTAACTGGGTCTTTTATTCTACCCGGAAGCTTAGCTCCCTTTGCCAAAAAATTTATATACCACCAAATCCCTTTATTGTTTAACTGTTACTTGACGCTAAATCTATTCAGTGATTGTTGTTGTAAGTCTGACATGTTGCAGGCGATGAGTCACAATAACGTGGCTGAAGTATGTTGACCAGACCACACACTAGAAATTGAAGGGACGACGACGTTTCGGTCCGTCCTGGACCATTCTCAAGTCTGACATGTTGTTCAGTCCCACGAATATATACTGCTGGTTGGAGCTATACAAGACCTCACTGTATACATATTCCTGTTATTTGTGAAGAAGCTGCATCAGCAAAATATTGGATAAATTGTGGTCCCTGCTTGGCAATTTGTGTGTTTTCTACACGTGTGAATATCAAATAAAAGGTTAATAGCAATTCCTACAGGATACTATCCAAAAATAATAAACCTTTAAACTGGTATATAAATGGTGCACTAATTATATTTTGGGAAGATTACAAAACAGCCTTTCATGCATGAAATACAGAATATTGGACACATTAGAGAACAAGTAATGGCAGTACTGTATAATGAAGCTTACCTGAATGGAACCCTCTTGCTTGAATACTAAGAAGAGAGATGCAAGAAGCTTCACTACTTCTGCCATCACTACAGCTGAAAACATTTATTAAAATAAATCACTGTACAGTTGCATTAACTAGATAAAGTGCCAACAACAATGTAGAAAAATACAAAGAAGTGTGCAGACATTATTAATAGATGATGGTTTTACCTGTAAGGATTTGATCATATCTAACCAAGACACAACTAGTGTTTATAAAGGGGCAAAGCAGGTTAGAGGTGCAGTGTGGTGGGATGAAGTTGACGAGCTGAACGGGAAAGGATCATGTATCACATATTACATTTACGAAGTATTCATTTAGCATGAGGGAAAGCAATAATGAATTTTCCTTCATTCTGCTCAATGTTGGTGGTGTGTCTGATGGCTGCAGATTCTATACACTGTCTCCTAATGTTGTTTTCTTCTCTTATGATTAGTTTATTACTCTTGAAGTTCATAAAGCGGTGTTCCTGGTTCCTATGAGTGACAAGCAGTGTTGATGTTATTGACACAAAAGGTGTATAAGCATAAGTACTGTATGCTCATACAATACAAACCTGGATGATTTGGATGATCTTCATATAGGTAGAAGATTACCGAGAAAAAACTGAAGCCGTACAATGGGATCACACTCGCATCCTTGAATTCCTCAGGGATGCAGGTTGGATCCCATCGTATAGATACGATATTTACTCACAGACATACCACAGTCTTGCGATTTCATTGTGCACCAGATCAGTGAAGAGAGGCAATGAACTGGATTGAAGAAATATTGCTTGAGAAGTCCCACAAATGACTTCAAAATAATTATTGAACATAAATTCTGAGAAACAAATTCCCTAAAAAGCTGCGTACTCACATTTTGAATTTCTAAAGTTGTAACAAGCCATAAATTATCCCAATTGGCAAATCTGACTGAATAATTTAGTTTTGTAAATTCCAGTGAGACCAATGTGAAAGCGTTTACATAAGTTTGCTTTTTTTAAATATGAAAGTTGAATTTCATGATGATAGGATGCATGAAGGACATTATCAAGGTTTGCACATCAAAATGTTTTTCAGTAGAAAAAACTAATTCATAGTAACTAAAAGCCAAATGAAAAACTTACCAGATGAAGCAATGAACATATCTCCAGCACGAGTCCGAGCATAGCGCATGCTGAGGGCCACGGCAGAGTTTTGGACTGTGAGGGTCACCAAACTCACATATTTAAGGACAGTGCCTTGTGCTGGGGAAGAAATAATGTCAATGAAAATTTATCACAAGCATGTATGTATGGACATGTACGTGTAATTACCTATGTGTAGTTACAGGATGAGAGCTACACTCGTGTTGTCCCGTCTTCCCAGCACTCTTTGTCATGTAACGTTTTGTAACTACTGACAGTTTTGGCCTCCCCAAACTTCTTACTTAACTTGTGTATGTGAGTGTAATTACTTATGTGTAATTACCTAAATGTAGTTACAAGATGAGGGCTACGCTCGTGGTGTCCCGTCTTCCCAGTATTCTGTCATATAACGCTTTGAAACTACTGACGGTTTTGGCCTCCACCACCTTCTCACCTAACTTGTTCTAACTGTCTACCACTTTGATTGCAAAAGTGAATTTTCTTATATTTCTTCGGCAGCTTTGTTTAGTTTAAATCTATGACTTCTTGTTCTTGAAGTTCCAGGTAATTACCTAAGTGTAATTACCTAAGTATACCTGGAATTTATCACTATTAAAGTTCATGTTATTTTCATCTGTTATACTATTTGAATTGAATCAATTCATCTCCAAGGCTGGGTTCCAGATCATTAAGGTAACAAGAAATTGGGTAGTCTTCAATTGCAAACAAGTTGACAAGAATCCATACTTCGTGTTTAATTCTGAACAAGTATGCAACCATTGTTTCTTCCTTGTAGATTGATGTACCAGCCTTGACAGTGCTATTCTTTTCAGATTGTCAAAGTCTCTTTCTTTGTGATGCAATAAACTTTTCCAGTAAACAAATTGCTTAAAAATGGTGACTAAATCACTTCAAAAGGGAAAGTTTATGTAATTATCAGAGTTGTGAGAAGGCTGCACATTTTGTATGTTTTATTCGTACTGTCAATGAGAACATCTGTGAACTGTAAGTCAATGCGTTAACATAAGACTTTCCATAATGTATCACAAATGGTATTATAGCCATGTGCACAAGAACATTGCCTTGCTTACTCATTATTTAATACTAAATGGCTCAGTTAATTAGCCCCTGCACTGCGCAAAGCTCCTTTAGGCGCTCTGAGAGTTGTTATTTTTTTTAATTAGGCTATATTTTAATGTTTTTTTTAATGTTTTCATTACTCTTTGTGTTTTTAAATGAAAATAGTTGAGTTTGGAAACATTTTGACATTAAATTTATCTGAATATTTATGAAAACAACAAGAATATGTCCTTGACAATTGCCCCAAGAAGTTTTTGCCGAAACCAGGTGCGCAGTGCAGGGGTTAAATGTCCTATACATTTATTAACATACATTTATTTCATACATTAAACATTTAATTAATTAAATGTTTAATGTATGTCTAAATAATTAAATACTTTCTCTCAATTTGAAAAGACTGTCCTTCTCTACCTTGTCTATTCCCCTCATTATCTTGAATTTTCTGATTATGTTTTTCCACCTCTGACATCTGGTTAGGGCATAAACAATACTCACATCCATAAATTAATACACCAGGTATCAACCAGGTACAAACCCACAAGCGCAAACACAGCGGTCATGACTTAAAAGAAAACCAAGAGATAAGTGGGGTGACTGTAGCAAATTGTACCAACCGTTCTTATCCAGCCCCATGGTGATCAGGTCTCCAACACCCCTGCAACAGACAATATCACATATTAGTACTATAAAGGTTTGTAGGTAAATATTATTGTCTGTAGCATAAAATCAATATTATGTGCATTAATAATAATAAGGTAAATTGAACTATGTGGTCAATGGGTGTGTGCTAACTAGGGTAATCTACAGTACAGTAGTTATCAATTGGGTAAAAAATTCAAATATAGTCTATACTTGAAGGCTAGATACCACATTTGTGCAGTAGAATAACAACATACTGGAACGAAAGACACGGAAGGAAATGCAGAATAGAACCAGTGAAAAGTAGAGGTACCATAGGCACAATCAGAGCACTGTATGAACATCAGAGGTCCACAGCTGTTCAACACCTTCCCAGCAAGCATTAGAAATATTGCTGGAACAAAGGTGGATGGATTCAAGAGACAATTAGATAAGTTCTTGCAAGAAGTGCCGGACCAACCAGGCTGTGGTGGATATGTGGGCCTGCAGGCTGCTCCAAGCAATAGCTTGTTGAACCAAATTATCACAAGTCATGACTGGTCTCAGGCCCGGCTCGGGGAGTAGAAAAACTCCCAGAACCCTCTTAAGGAATGCTTCAGGTATAATAGTTCTAAGTAAGTGTGCAAAATTATACTCCCTTACAAGGTGCTTAAATAGCTAACAAAAATAAATATTTAATTACACAAATGCTGAAATGCTAAGATGATCCAAGTTCATCATGAATTGAATACTTTGGGAGCATTCTGGGGGAAGTGGAGATTTTGTTGATGGCAGAAGTGGCTGAGGCCCACCTGGGGAACTGGCAGAAGCGACCGAGGCCCACCTGGGGAACTGGCAGAAGTGACCGAGGCCCACCTGGGGAACTGGCAGAAGCGACCGAGGCCCACCTGGGGAACTGGCAGAAGTGACCGAGGCCCACCTGGGGAACTGGCAGAAGTGACCGAGGCCCACCTGGGGAACTGGCAGAAGTGACCGAGGCCCACCTGGGGAACTGGCAGAAGTGACCGAGGCCCACCTGGGGAACTGGCAGAAGTGACCGAGGCCCACCTGGGGAACTGGCAGAAGTGACCGAGGCCCACCTGGGGAACTGGCAGAAGTGACCGAGGCCCACCTGGGGAACTGGCAGAAGTGACCGAGGCCCACCTGGGGAACCGGCAGAAGCAACCGAGGCCCACCTGGGGAACTGGCAGAAGTGACCGAGGCCCACCTGGGGAACTGGCAGAAGTGACCGAGGCCCACCTGGGGAACTGGCAGAAGTGACCGAGGCCCACCTGGGGAACTGGCAGAAGTGACCGAGGCCCACCTGGGGAACTGGCAGAAGTGACCGAGGCCCACCTGGGGAACTGGCAGAAGTGACCGAGGCCCACCTGGGGAACTGGCAGAAGCGACCGAGGCCCACCTGGGGAACTGGCAGAAGTGACCGAGGCCCACCTGGGGAACTGGCAGAAGCGACCGAGGCCCACCTGGGGAACTGGCAGAAGTGACCGAGGCCCACCTGGGGAACTGGCAGACGTGACCGAGGCCCACCTGGGGAACTGGCAGAAGCGACTGAGGCCCACCTGGGGAACTGGCAGAAGTGACCGAGGCCCACCTGGGGAACTGGCAGAAGTGACCGAGGCCCACCTGGGGAACTGGCAGAAGCGACTGAGGCCCACCTGGGGAACTGGCAGAAGTGACCGAGGCCCACCTGAGGAACTGGCAGAAGTGACCGAGGCCCACCTGGGGAACTGGCAGAAGTGACCGAGGCCCACCTGGGGAACTGGCAGAAGCGACCGAGGCCCACCTGGGGAACTGACAGAAGCGACCGAGGCCCACCTGGGGAACTGACAGAAGCGACCGAGGCCCACCTGGGGAACTGACAGAAGCGACCGAGGCCCACCTGGGGAACTGGCAGAAGCGACCGAGGCCCACCTGGGGAACTGGCAGAAGTGACCGAGGCCCACCTGGGGAACTGGCAGAAGTGACCGAGGCCCACCTGGGGAACTGGCAGAAGTGACCGAGGCCCACCTGGGGAACTGGCAGAAGTGACCGAGGCCCAACTGGGGAACTGGCAGAAGTGACCGAGGCCCACCTGGGGAACTGGCAGAAGTGACCGAGGCCCACCTGGGGAACTGGCAGAAGTGACCGAGGCCCACCTGGGGAACTGGCAGAAGTGACCGAGGCCCACCTGGGGAACTGGCAGAAGTGACCAAGGCCCACCTGAGAAAATATACGACGAAGTCAGACACGGGCGTTTCGACAAAGCTGCTTTTTTTTTTTTAACTGTTAAAACTATATATAATGTTAGTTAGTCTGTGTTAACTTAGTTGGGCGACCATAACTAACCATGTCGAAGTATCCATAACCCGAGCTGTATCAAAACTATGATGTCAATGTGATGTTACAAATATAGTGCACACTATTTATGAAACAAAAAGTTATCGCTTATTTGGGTTGGGTTAGGTAGGGAATGGTTAGGTTGACTTAGTGGGGTTGGGATGGGTTGGGATGGGTTGGTTGGGTTGGGATGGGTTGGTTGGGTTGGGATGGGTTGGTTGGGTTGGGATGGGTTGGTTGGTTGGTTGGTTGGGTTGGTTGGTTGGGTTGGTTGGGTTGGTAGGTTGGGTTGGTCGAGTTGGGTTGGTAGGTTGGGTTGGTCGAGTTGGGTTGGGTTTGTTTAAAGAGTAAGGTTGACGTAGACAATTCGAACTTCTCTGTCAGGGACGATATAACTTGCATGAGGAGCGTTAGATAACACCAAACACAATGCCTTAATCTCTCCTCACCCTACTAAAACGTGTCCAAATCTCCACCAGACTGCCCAAAGAGTTATGGAGCAGAGGCACCACCCAACACCTGCTGCAGGAGACAAAGAAGAGAAAAGTTCGCCAAAGGTGCACCCGGCCCGAGGGTGTTGACGTCAAGTGGACGGTTATACCACTAACACTACTCCGCTATGACGTCACTTGGGCGGTTAACCCACAGATTCGCAGATACAAAAATATCTAATATCTTATATACCTGAGAGGAAACTATCTCTCTAATAGTCTCGGTGAGGAGAGAAAAGAATGTGTGTCACATATATCATTCAAAATTTAAATTGAAATGTTTATTTAGGTAAAGTACATACATACAAGGGGTGATATAGATATTAATGAATTTATAGATAGAGCTAGTACATACAATGCATCATGTCTGTGGATAGATAGATAGATAGATAGATAGATAGATAGATAGATAGATAGATAGATAGATAGATAGATAGATAGATAGATAGATAGATAGATAGATATGTAAGTAGGTTGACAAAAACGCATGTAAAGAATGGTACATATTTTAATATGTATTAATTCGACATTTGCATTACCTGCCGTCGTGAATGCCCACAACTTGCACAAATAATTAAAGACATTTAGATATATTAATCATAAGATAAAATCGTTACATATACATATACATATCTCATGAAATTAAAGCTTGATTAATTACAAATTTTGATATTATTTAATTATTTATTTTTGTATTTATTTATATACAAGAGGGGTACAGTGGGTTGAGAAAGTACATTCTTGAAAAGTCACTAACATACATAGCGTTTCGGTAGTTTATTATGCACCCCATACCCCATCCTAGCTGTGAGCAGGGGTGGGAGAGGTTACAGACACATATAATGAGCTCAGTAACTGAACCCCCCTCCCCAGATTCATTTAGCTAAGCAAGTTAGAGCTTTGATAGGTTAGTTTACATCGTTTAATGAATTATTATATCAACAGTGGGTTCAAGAACGACCACAAGGACAGTCTGCTAGACAAAGCTGCCTGACGCCAAAAAACGATCGGGAGTGAACTAAACCTTCTAATGTTTACCATTGGAGAAGCCACGTAGAAACTTTGCAACAATAACAGAAACGTTGATATATGATAGTATACTACTTAAAAATATTTACAAATAATATAAAATTTAATTTAAATAATAGAAATCTGTTTGATAGTTTCGTTTTATAATTATTTTATGGAGGTTCTATGGGTCATTGACTCCGACTGGGGGACTTCCTGTACCAGAAACTCTGCAGCTGGTGCTTACCTAATGTAACTACGGGAGAATGAGCTCTAGCTCTTGGGGCCCCGCCGCCCGTTACTTGTTTTGTGCTTTCAGCTTTCACTTAAATTCTCTCGTTCTGCTCTCAATTTAACGAGGCTGTAGTTTTTGTTCTAGTTAAGGTCATTTATTATGCATCCTATGCCCACCTTGTGGGCGGTAGTGGACTAAAAAGTTCAGGGACTGATAATTTTTGGCTGTCCTTTTTGTTGTTGATTTATTGTATGCTACGGTAACACAGGTGTTGTGTGTGCCACGACACCACAGGTGTTATATGCCACGACACCACAGGTGTTGGATGTACAATGTTTTTATAGATGGGGGAACATCACTGAACATGGTGGATATACACAGCCATTCGGAGGAAGATAACTTTGCCTTGTGACAGATATAAACACCGCACCAGAAGCTCCCGTGTTCGATTTTTGGGTGGGACAGAAATGGTTGGGAATGTTCCCTTTTACCTGATGCCGCTGTTCACCTATTAGTAAATAAGTATCTGGGAGTTGTGCAATTGTTGTGAGGTTGCATTCTTGGAGAAGGTCAGTAACTGACCTGGGTGGATGTATTTAAGCTCGAAAAGCTTAAATACATAGTTTTTAACGGGAATCATCGAGGCATTATAAATATATACTTCAAAATAACTCTTAATGCATTAGGAAAAGACAGTCAAATATACTATATATTATTAAAAGATTTCTCGACTTTTCACCTGCAAGATGGATTTCAAAATCCAACTGGAAAAGATTATCGGGCAAATGGGGGGGATCTTCGACAAGCCACCGGCTTCCTGTCTTCGTGGAGGCCACTAGTGGCAGTGGCCCTCAGGTAAATTCAGGTAAATTAAGATAACGTAAGTTTGAGGGTTGATAAATGCTAATCCCTTATTTGATAATCTGATCACTTAAGACAATAGAGTCCCAGATGGGTCTGGGTACAGGGGACAGGATGGATTCCATACAGGCGGTAGGATCAACAATTCACACATATCATCAAGATTATGTGTTATGGCGATATGTTGGTCCACAGAACACACTTCTCTGCAGATGCTTGGCGATCCTTGGCTACAGGGTAGGTCCTGAGGTTGGACGTGAGCGCAGGTCCAACACATTGCTTAGCCAGAAGGCTGTGTATCGACACCCAATTGGACGTGAGCGCAGGTCCAACACATCGCTTAGCCAGAAAGCTGTGTATCGACACCCAGTAATCACAGACGAGGCGTCCTTAGAACACAGTCGAACAAATGCTACAGCCTAACGGCAAAAAACCCAAGCCTAATCGGCTCAAAACTTACCAGTGCCTTCCATTGACTCCTGACACAGGAGACCACAGCATCTCAAGGCCACACCTGGAGCCCCCCGACACCCTCCTACTCCCGGCATCTCTCGACGTAGCTGACACCATATCCCGCTCTCTGCTCTGAGATCAACCCGGAAAATTATATATTTATCAAGTTTCCTGTGACGCCAGGCGCTATATGTCGTATCATTCGTGAATGTTAAAGAATGATAGCTTACGAAGTATCAAGTGAACGACCAGCAAAACTAGCAAACACATTCTAGCAAACACTCCTGCTTCACCCAGCAGGTGAAGCAGGAGTTAATAGACGTCACCCTCAGTCGAGGCTGACCCAGGAGTCATGGGGACTCAAATCGGGAATACCGGGGGTCGAAACCCTGGCAGGACAGAAATGGTTGGGCAGCTTTCCTATCATCCCAGCCTCTGTTTACCTGCAGTAACTATGCACCTTGGAGTTTGGCAACTGTTGTATAAAGCATGAGCAGTACATATATGTAAATAAAGTTACATATAGTTTATTGTGTATTTCCTAAATGTTGGAGAGAGAGTACATAGTACATACCTCACACTCCAAGAGTGACACTGAGACAGAATGATATAAGAAGTAATACAAGACTAACGTATATTCTGTGTTTATAAACAGAGAAGTGGGTACATCTCTATGTTTAGAGACGGAGAAGGGGGCACATCTCTATGTTTAGAGACGGAGAAGGGGGCACATCTC